CACACGACAGTTCCGTTGTGCCTTATGGGCTCTCTTTCGAGCCCAACCAGCAGCCGCACAGCGGCGCATGAGATATAGGCAATATGTTATTATCGTAAGGCAAAACGGAACGAGTGAGTTTCGTAAGGACGATCGGTGGGCGTCCCCTAACATGTATACTCCCGATCGAAACCGACAGGACAATGGGCCCGTGGCTCAGTGGTTAGAGGCGTGGACTTCCATTTCGATCCTCGGGTGTTCCACACTTCGGGGTTGGGTATGGCTGGCTGACGACGGTTAATAAGCCATAAATGGCCATTTCAGTCTCCCTTGACTTTGTCCGTAATATTATACTGCCCACAAATACTTCTGGATAGTTACGGCCGTTGGACTGAATAACATGGCTCACTAAACAAGTCATGCGAACAGGAATCACTTGCAGTACGAGTGGCTTTGAGAGAACTGCTAGTGAAATTAGGTCTAGGTTTAACGTCAAGTTTAGGTTAAGGGTAAGTTCTTAGGCTAAACTTAGAGCCAACGTTAGGGTAAGTCAGCAGCAAGTTTAGGGTCAGGGTAGGGGCTAGCGTTAACTGCACAGTTAAGGTTTAGGTTGGAGTCAAGATTGGGTAAACGGTTTAGTTTTATATTAGGGCCATTGTTGGGGTCAGGACACGGAAATATTCCTCCTTTTCCGCAGTTATGCGCAGTTTCAGCTTTATTCCTTTGGCGGGGCATTCCTGTTGACATGTCCTGCTTAAGGGGCCATATAAGCCAGTCCTATCTGGCCAGTTAAAAATGGCTAGCGTACTTAGAGACATCGTCTAAACAATGAGGGCGGTGAGATTGAAGAGTAATGTCAAACTATGCTGACCTGACACACCTTCAATAACACAGTATTTATAAATGTGATTATGACGCCCTCGCGATTTAACTCCTTTCGACTCTCTACTCAACTGATCGTGAGTTCTGTCGTAAGCTAAAAGACACTTCGGGAGTACAGAATCACTTTTATACTGCATCAGTTGACCATCTTTTTGTAAAGAACAGGTCCACCTTTATAACTTGTACGGGTCGTGCCTATTCCCACGTCCTGTTGTGGAGGCCAAATTACCGCTAAGCCCTAAGAACAGTGCATGCCAAGAAAGATTATCATTGTCGTGATTCCTCGCTCACGGTGCACGAGGTGCATGGTGCGTGAGGGCTCAGGTGAACCTTCCGTAAATTGTGAGAAATTTTGTCAACACAATGCAGCAAAACCGATTTTAAATCCTTCCATATAGTATAACTCTGATGGGCAACAGCAATCAGCGAAGAGATGGAACTTCTGGTGAAATATTGCCCTTGACCAACTGATCGCATAAGCTATCGTTCACCTCTAATCTCCAGGAAATATAAGTTGTAGAAGTCTTTGTCAGGTTCGTCACGCGTATAAGCCAAAACAGATTTCGGAGCATATGCGATACTGTTGATAGAATAAGGCAATAATAAAACGTACAAACATCAACAATGGATACCCTAGACAAAGAAGCCCTTTGTTACTGTTCGAATAAATCCAATTCCCAGCTCAAGGTCAGAATATAAGAACTATTTAACTCAAAGAACGCTCAGAAGAATGTAACAAAAAAGGGAGAGGGGAATGTCAACATGGACCAAATGTGGAAACACTTGCGAAGAGGGCGTGGAGAATTCCAAACTTTGACCAAATGGATACAACATTAGGAGACCGGGTTGTATGCCAGGAGAACGCGAAAAGATTTCCTGAACTGCTTTATATTTTAACATTAATATTGCAAGTTGTAGTTTGCAGCAAACGATGGACTTCGGGCAATTGCAATTATATCACTGTTCGGGTCAATCCCGTAAACACTCACTGGCAACTCCAGCTCCAGTGGAGGCATTTTGTTGGGTCCTGTCACTTACGCCTCACTAGTAAATCCTTCTACAAATCTAGCTGCATCCCTTTTAATGTTACATTTACCCCGAAATTCATTACCAAATTCCAGCATTCATTTCAATTTCGCAAGAACAATTTTATGACAGATTTCGGGGTAGTAGGAAATCGGGCTAACGGATAACGCCCACCGACGGAAAACTTCTAACCGTTGATCCTGCAACCCACCATTGGATGCTCCCCTGGTCAGTGAACAGCACCAAAGACGCAGTACATCATCCATTCAAAATCACTTTATGATTTTCTTGCTTTAAGGACGAGAAATATTATTTTTACGAAACTGCAGGATTCTGCAAACGACGTGTCATCATATATGTGAGAAATCACCTCGCGTTAAACAGTGTCTGGTCAGCGGCAAAAAATGGTCCAATCCACATCTTGAATTTTACAGCGTGAACTAAAACCACAGAGCACTTTTACATTTCATAAGAATGTGAAAACTCGAGATCAGGTTGACGATTTGAATCGTCAATATTAGTGGGCATCACACATACTGCCTTCTGCAGAGATTACACAACTTGAGATATTTGTCTGGGGTTTTTAGTTAAAGGCATTATTTGGCCTCAGAATGGCAAAGGCCTAAGAACAATGGCTGCAAGAAAGATGACCATTGTTATGATTGTTTCTGTATATTGTTGCGTCAACTGTTTCTCGCTTATGCGGGTGTACCCGGATGGAGTGCTGGTGGAATTGTCGGGGTCAGTGCAGTGCTGGCATGCACAAAGGGGCCTTCATGCATTGTGTGAAATTTTGACAATGCAAATCACATTGACATTACAGGAAAGTCTAAACTCGTCAGAAAGTAAGTAGTCATTTTCAGATGGGGCGCTGTGTGTGTTTTGCCCCTAGGACGAGTCAGGCGGCAGATGCGCTGGACCATTAACGGGGTTGGACCAGAATCCGACAGGAGTTTTTGGGAATGCACGACGTAACAAATGCCGACTTTGGGACCGTGGCAGTAGCACCTTGTACGTGCTCACGCCGCACCCGCTTTCTTTTTGTATAAAGTCCCGGTCAGCGTGCGTTGTGGACAAGGGGGTGAGGTAGCACGTCTAGGTGCGGGTTTTCACTGTGCCTACCTTTGTAGTGGACAGCCATAATGACGACGTCGCGCCTCTCGCTAGCGCCTGCACCTACGTCCTAGCGACAGCCTGCTATGGCACGCACGTCTGCCCGTCTTCGAATTGTCTCGTTGCAATCCACTGGCTGCACCACGCATTCGGTCGGTTCTCTGCCTGCACAACTCGAGGCTTGTCACTACCTTCGCGTGGGCTCGGAGCCAATCAACGCAACTCCTATCGCTGATTGGTAAGACAGGCGGGAACAGTCCAGAACAATAGGGGAGACAATATGCAACGACACTTTTGCAGCGGCGACATTCGGCAGCACAGGGCTCGCCGCTCTCGCGGACGCCGTCTCCGCTGCGTCGGATGCATCCTTGTCCGGTTGCCAACTTTCCCTTTCACTATCCTGTGCAGAATAAAGTGTCCTAACCAAATGGCGTCCTGCTTCTAACAATTTAGGATATGGCCTGAAGTTGTGGCGTACTGAGCGTACACCATCACCACTTAGCCGCTACACCTTCTACCCCCTACCTTCTTCCGCCTCCGGTCTTCTTGACCCTATCATGATTTCGGATCCAGATGTGAGAGGAGGAGAGAGTGCGGTACATGCAGCAAAAGTCTATTATTACTTTGTGCAAGTCGTCGTCCCTGTTCTCACCCTGCTGTCGGACACGCAGTGAGCATCGTCGGTATCGACGTTCGAACTGGCGTGTGTGTGTGTGTGCGTGTCTGTCTGTCTGTCTGTCTGTCTGCCTGCCTGTTTGGGAGGTGTAGGGGTGGCCAATAGGGGTTTATGTGACGGTCGTAGTAGGTCACTCATTTGCTTGCAGGTGCAGACTACGCCTAGCGTCCATTTCCTGACACTCACCTCCTACTTGTGGCTCCCAGAAGCCAGGTTCTGGCTAGCGGCCAAACCCCAATAACCGCTTCGACCGGCGGGCTAAACCTGGTGGGCGTATCAGTGCTTCCGCCCGCTCGCACATAAATGTTGACCCCCCTGGCCGGAGGAATCGTCGTGTCGGCATCGTCGAGACGAGGCTCCGCCTGGACAACCGCAGGCAAAAACTTGACAAATGAACCTATGTCCCAGGCTAATGCGGATCGTTCTTCCGCTACACCAAAGCTGTGGCCCACTGTGGAGTTCGGCAGCCGTCTGGGATTTCCGAGCAACCCTATTTAGGGGGGCATTGCTTGCCCTCAAGGGGAGGGGCCAGAAAAGATACCGTACAAATAGCTGGGATCCACGCTGTCTGTGGGCTGACCGTGAGCGCAGACAAAAAACACACGGTCGATACAATAAGAACAGAAACAACGACCACCTCTCTTTTCCTCTTTCTGCCAAATCATCTCTTCCTCCTCCTTCCCGCCGCCCTACTCGCCAGGCTGGCAGGGTGTGGCTGCTTACAATGGCAGCCTGGAATGTTCGTTGCCTTGTAGACAATCCGAGCAGGGGCCGACCGAAAAGCAGGACGGCGTTAGTTGCTTGGGAACTGGCGCGCTACAAGGTGGACATCGCTGAACTCAGCGAGACCCGATTCTCCGAACAATGCCAACTGGAGGAGGTGGGTGCCGGCTACACCTACTTCTAGAGCAGTCGCCCAAAGTCCGAGCGACGGGACGCGGTTGTCGACTTCGTCATCCGGAACGGCATCGTGGGAATAATGTCCTGTCTGCCTGCCTATCTGGGGAAGCAAATTCGCCATCATCATCAGCACCTACGTTCCGCCGATGACCAGCTCCGACGCCACCAGAGAAAAATTCTACTAGGACCTGCACGCCCTCTTGGCGACTGTGTCGAAGGCGGATAAGGTAATTGTCCTTAGTGACTTCAACGTCCGCGGCGGAACAGACCATTCAGCCTGGAGAGGAGTGCAAGGTCCGAATGGTCTCCGCGGCTCCAACGACAATGGTCTGTTCCATCTCCGCACCTGCGCAGAACACCGCCTCATCCTGACGAACACCTTCTTCTGCATGACGGAGCGAGAGAAGGCCACCTGAATGCATCCTCAGTGGCACTGCTGGTGGATAAAAATATTGTCCTTAGTGACTTCAACGCCCGCGTCGGCACAGGCCATGCTGCCTGGAGATGAGTGTTGGGTTCCAATGGTCTCGATGGCTTCAGTGACAATGGCCTGCTCCTCCTGCGAACCTGCGCTGAACACTGTCCCATGAAAACCAACGCATTCCTTTGCCTTCCGACGCGGAAAAATGGGATCTGTCTGCACTCTCGGCCGCGACACTGGCACCTGCTGGACTATGTCGCCATCCTGAGGCGAGACCAGAGGGACGTGGTAGTGACAAAGGCGGTTCCGGGTGCTGACGGTTGGACCGACCACCTTCTTTTGATTGTGAAATCGGGAGAAAACGTGATTTTATACCGAACAAGTAAAGGAATGAGTATTTGTATATATGTTTTCCATGAAATATAATTGAATTTTCAAGGACATCGAAAATCGGTGAGAAAATTGCATTCCACTTAAGCAATCATTTTTTTGCAGGTATAGTTCTTGCATGCAGTCGGACATAAGTTCATTCGAAAGCCGACACCCTGATGAAACTGGATCAGTATAGAATTATGCTGCATGTTGAGCAGTTTTACAACCCTACTAAATTAATCTTTTCGAAACGAGAACGCATTTCGAAATTTCGGTTGACATTTCATGTGTTAGTCCACCTACTGTACCTGCATCCACAAGTGCATGTGAATTGGCAAACGCAGTTTGAGTTGGCGTGCTAGGTCAGAGCATCTTTTGTCCGAGGAATTGGAATAGGCTTAGTATGACAGCTTACTTTGAATTGGTTGCATTATGCGTCCTTTCAAAGATACATTTCAGTCATCGCTGGGTGTTATTTGAAATTTATCAGCCCGTAAAGGGCTAGAAAATTACGAAGGGCTTTTCCTGGATGGATTTTACATGACGTTTGGCAATAAGATATTGGCGAGACTTGCTGGATTGCCAGGCCGGAGCAAGGTTTCTTCTGGGCAGGAAATTTTTGCGTTAAATATCTCAATAGGGTAAATGCGTTTCGCTCCTCGGAAGAGATTTTGTTTCCGTTTAATCGGCATAAAACTCAGCAAAAGTTATTATTGACCATTCCGTGTATCCTTATGGAAAACCGATTGTGTTATTTAATTATCTTTCTGTCTAGTTACGAGGGCTTCCAGGAAGTATAGCTTGTTGCACGGCCTATTTTCCACAATGAATTTACTTTTCGGATGGTGGCTACTGATAACAAAACGTAGGTCATTAGATTCCTCGAAATTATGAACAATTGGGAATATATCATTCATATGTCTTTTGTATAGTGTTTTAATGTTCGATTTCGATGACAACATTTCTTCTAGGCGACCCATGAAATTGTCGGCAAAGGTTGGACCTAGTGAACACCCAAATGCTACTCAGTCAAGTTGGCTTTCTACTTGTCAATTAAACAGAAACGGGGCACTTTTAAAGCACATTTTCAACACGTCACGTAGCATTTTAGGTGACAGACGGCTTTCAGACGCATATGACATTTAATGCCACATTAAGTGGCACATTTAAAAATAATGATTAAATGCCCAACGAATGTCCTACGCGGTGTATCAAATCATTAATATTGGCGGCTCATTTTGAGTCCCACGAGAATAACGATTAAAGTTTATCCTGTAATTGAAGTGCGCGAGCAATCTAATGAAACAATGATGAAACTTTCTTGTGAGATTCTGACAAATAATATTACTTCCTTAGTCCGCAGAGCTGACCGTTTTTAAAATCACAAACTCGGATTATTTAATCCAATTTACATGCTTGTCATGCCTTCTTAAAACGCGGCATCTTAGACTCAAGGCTTTTTTAAAGTACGTCTATTCACAAACCGCTTCACTGAATACTATTCTTGATAGCAGCTGCTTTCTGCTATGTTGAAATAAAAATATTAATTTATTCGTCAGTAGAGCTGACAAGTGCGAATAAAGCTACAGTTGACTCTGCGGGACTGTCTAAATTGGTCAGAAATTCAGCAGCCATTCGCAGGCTCGAAGATGTTGTCCTGTGTAATGCACCGTAGGTGAGTTGAACTAGGACGGAAGCTAGCTCGGAGTCCGGTAACCGTTATCGGAATGCGAACCCCTAACAAATGTCAAAATTTTAGGTTTGACGGTAGGCGGGCTTGCTCTGCGCCATTCGAGATCAGTGCGGGCCTTACGCCCACTGTACAGTGAGTGACCGATCTCATAAAATGTTAGCCGAAATTCCGAAATGTGTTTTCGATCAGGAAGGATTACTTAGCTGGGGTTCTAGTAAATATAATCGTGCGGCATAATCCTATAATATTTTGGACGTGGCGAGATGCCTGTTTCTGCGCACACTTCTTTTCGATCTCCTGTAGAAACCGCGCCCAGTAAAAAAAGGGTTAATTAGCATGCATTTTTCACATTGATTTTTGATGGTCTTGCAAATTTCAATATATTTTATAGAAACCACGGACAAACGCGTGCTCTCTTCCAGTTGTTCGGTAGAGAATTACGTCATCTTCACATAGCTAACTCGAAGAAGGGATATAATAAGGATTTTAAAACTTTTTCCAATTCTTGAATAAGTTGATTCTGATTAGCAGTTGCATTGGCGTTTAATGACTTCAATCTACAAGGTGCATGCGTTCTGCGCAAGGAAAATCCTATATTTTTCTAGCGCGTGATAAAATACCATATAGAGTCCATAGAACTTTGCAGTGGATGCGGACTACGTTGTACAGTTCATGAGAAGCAGTGGCAAATGGAAGTGTACCGTGTTGTATGAATGGACACTGCACGGTCTTAAAAAATCACATAATTAGAAACTTTTTCAAAACCCAATTTTACTCTTTCTTCGAGTACATAATATTAAGACGGTATATGCTCTATTAAGGGAGTGAAAGAAGGCTTATTTTGTTCATGTTTTTGTAAAATATATTTGAATTTGCAAGCCATCGAAAATCAGTGTGAAAAATGATTGCTACCTAAATAGCCATTTTTTACCGACTATGGCTTCTAAAAGAGATTGAAAGCCATTGTATTCAAAAGCAGACATCCTGCCAATTCCGACATATTGTAGGATTAGGCCGTAAGATAATACGCATTAGAATCCCACCTAAGTAGTCCTTCCTAGTGGGAAACGCATTTCGGAATTTTGGTTAAAATTTCATGAAATCTGTCATTCACTGTATGCTGTGGACCAGAGGGTGTGATGGTACGCCTAGGTGCATGTTTTCACTGCACCAACAATCCGCTCCCCCCCCTCCTGTCTGCGGTCTCCTTGGTGTTGTATCCAGGTGTGGGATGGGACGCGAGTGCGGTAGATACAGCTCAAGTCTAATAATTAAATTAAATAATTCATGCGCAAGTCGCCATCCCTGCTCCCACTCCACTGTGGAGAACATTTTGCACATCGTCGGTCACGATGCTCGGACTGTTTTGAGGTTGTTATTACAGCGCCAAAGAGTAGAAACGCTCTTCTTGTTTCCAGTGGAAGGAGATGAGTGAAACCAGTGCTTTTCGCTGTTTGGCTGTCAAGCGCCTAGGACCATTTTCATCTTGTGGGGTTTAATGCAGGAGGTTATAATGCGCCTGTCTTACAGGACACTGGTTGGTTCTCATACCCTCACAATTCAATCTGTTCTGTGAGACAAAAACATTCTGACAGATGTATTTCCCCTTAGCCTGGGTCAGCTGATGAATCCCGATATTTTTCGACTCAGCTCAGCTCGGTTAAGTTTATTTGAGGGAAACGTAGGTGTTGAACCTTTGAACTCCCCGTTTGTTACAAGGAAGCGAATTATATCAAAAATTGAAAAAAAAACATCAAACCGGTCAGATAGACGAATTTTTCTAAGTGGTTAAAACATTAACATTAAATCTGCTGTAAACTAGTCAGTCTATGCATAATTGTGCTGTAGAATATTGGTACTACTTCAGTTTCTGAGGGAGACGGACTAAACGCCAACAATCACATTAAGTGGACTGGCCAATAATATAAAAAGAAAACAAACGCTACTGAAATACAGGAAGTAATGTTTGAACAAACATAAACCTACAAGAGCTGGAAAAGGTTGCTTTCAGCCATTACAAACCTGCGTTTTGGCGCCGATACGTGGACGATCCATTCGTCATTATTGAAAAGGGCAAGCTATCGGGTTTCCAAGACCTACTTAACAGCATATTCCCCGACATTCAGTTTACAAGAGAAGACGAGGAGAACGAAAAACTACCCTTCCTGACGTGCTCGTCACGCGCACACCTGACGGTGAACTCAGCACTACAGTGTACAGAAAGGCGACCAATACAACCCAGGTCCTCAACTATCATAGCAACCACCCATTGGTGCACAAACGGGGCTGTGTGAGGGCGCTTTTCGACCGGGTAAAAACGCACTGTAGCGAGCCCGAAGGAAGGATGCAAGAACTACGGCATCTCCGGGACCAATTAACAAAGAACGGCTACCCAAACAGCTTTATCAGTCGCTGCATATGCGCACACCCACGCCGGACAAACGGAAGAGAGACACCAACAATTTGGCACTCCCTACCGTACATAAAGAATGTGTCCGAGGCTACAGAACGCATCGCGTCAGAGCTAGGCGTGGGCATCGCTCATCATCCGGCGGCCACCATGCGTAGCAGGATCATGAAAATGAAGGATCGGCTGGACAAGGGTGAACAGTCGGGCGTAGTCTATCGAATCCCGTGCCAAAACTGTCCTTGCCACTACACAGGCCAGACAGGACGACGTCTGAGCTCACGAATACTTGAGCACAAACGGGCCGTTCGGAGAGGCGACCCACTGTCTCAAGTAGCCACTCACACGCTCGAGGAAGGGCATGAGTTCGTTTTCGCCAACACGCGGATATTGGCGCGAGCCGGCAACAAGACAGGGCGAGAGCTGTTGGAGGCGTGGGTGTCGGACACCAACTCCATTAACAGACACATCGATTTGCCTGCGTGTTATCACGCGCTCCGCCCACGCAGCCAGGTGGCGCAGGTCACACCGTCGCGAAGTGCAAATGGCGTCACCACGCCGGGGGAACATCGTGGACCAGGCGGCACAAACCCTACCTAGCCACGGACGTAGTCCCCCTCCCTCCCCGCAAGGATGAACGATATAAATGTTCACAATTTGCTGCACTCGAGTAGCCTCTGATGATGAACTCTAGTTCGAGTTCGAAAGCTCAGACCAATAAACTTACTGTCCCAGTGATCGTGTCTTCGCCTTCTTTTAAACATAAACCGTTGGAACGAAACACTAAGACGATATCGGTGAGCTGACGATATGACTTTTGGTGGTATAATGGTCCAACTTGCGTTTAATAGCCTCGACGGATGTGGACATGACGATATCTGCAGGCAGCGCATCCCAAGCCTCGAGTACTCTGTTGGAAAAGAAGAACTTTCGCGTGTCCAGTCTGTCGCTAGCCACGCGTAGCTTAAGTGGATGTCCTCGGAATTCCCTTGTGATTGCTAACTCAAAGAACCCAGCAGGCAGGAGACAGCAGTCCTGATCTCACATTGTGCGGAATGTTTGTATCAACTCGCCTGTCAACTGTCTGTAATCCCAGAGGTAAAGGGCCGAGATTCGATAACCAGGTTTTGTAGGGTATTGAACCCTGCCCGCATTTAAACATTCCAGAGGGTGTTAAGTCTTTAGAAGTCCAGGGATTCCACGCTTTAACAGAGAACTCTAACTGTGGCCGTACAAAGTCCGAAAGACTTTAGATAGGCAGTCCTTATCGAAGTTAGAGAAAGCTCGCTTGACAAGGTAAAGGACTGACATCGCGGACTTGGCTTACTTGGAGTAGTGCAGCGACGGTTTAATGAAGCCGTGGCCCACACGCTCAAGTCTTTCTAGGCGTCTACCGCTTGCAGTGGTACGCCAGTTAGGCGGTAGGGTTCCTTATGTGTTTTTATACAAAGAAAGAACAATGAGACATCCGTTTCGCTGAAAGACAATAGTGGGAGTGTCTACTCCTCACAAAACTAGAGCCAGCCAATCACTGGCGGCCACGTGGGTCTTCTCTACCGCGCTATCAGCATAATCATGGTGCCTCTCCATTGGCTGCTTCTCTCGACCCTAATCGATCTGTGTATTCGAATTATCGACCAGCTCATCCAGAATGTTCTTACCCAAGTGCATTTGGTCGAATGCAGGCGAACCACAGTGGGATGTCATAAATAAACTTTATTTCCAGCGAGTCTTGACGTGCAGTTCCTAATGCACTTTTTCATGACCTGTCGTGTTCTCCTTCTCTGCCGCTTTGGTGTTAGGGGCTAGAGTCGAGTGCGCATACGCTCCATGTGATTTCAAGTACCAGGCCATGTCATAACAAATAAGTTGCTGGATGGCCAAGCTATTGCGGCCTACACTAGTGTCCACCATACAAGGCCACGTTTAAGCATGAAAGAAGGCATTTCATTGATATGATAAACGATGCAGAAATGGCTGTCAGACGTTTTCTATACAACAGTATCAAGGACCCCCTTGTCTGCCAGTTTGTATGATCCAGGGTTGAGACCCGGAAGTTTTAATTGGAAACCCGTTCAGACGTTCTGTCATTTCCTTCTCTCATTAGTACCAAACAGGAAAACAAGGGTATTTGTGACGAAGCCGAAATTCTCGCAAGAGGTGACAACCGCGTGAGCCGGGAGCTGCCTGAGTCATGGTTTACTGGCTCCCAGTCAACTAACAAGTGCAATGATCTTCCCATTCAATACTCGGTGCTGAGACTTCGCCTAGATGGAGTAATTAGCCAGACGGGGAGCGCACAGGTGAACACTCTTCCCAAAACCCGGGTCAGCGCGTCAGATGGTAGAGCAATCATCACGCCAACATCCAACGCACGTGATGAAATTTCAGCAATTAACGACGCGAATGTCGGCCATCACGCCACGTGCCACAATCCCTGTAGAAGGGAGGGGGGTGGAACCGTGAATATTCATAGGTATGCGGTAGCATGTCTACTGCATCCCATAAATACTGCAGCTCCTTATACATGAACCACCTTTATCTGCTTTTTTCTCTGATTATGGATTCGAGCAGGGATCCGAAACGTCAGGCTAATAAAGCTCTTGTCCGGCGATCGTGTCTTCTTCTTCAAGGCTGGTAAATTTGTTAAACAACAGTAGTTGTATTTTCTTATAATCATCTTACACTAGTTATATTCCTTCTCGTTCCATAGGTTGCATTTGCTTATTTCCTCGAACGTTGATGAACTTGTCGTTACTTTGTCTGACCTGAGCAAATCGGCACCACCTATCACTCACACTCTTTTATCCGTATTCGGCTACAGCCTATCTTGGAATCTGACTTTAAGTATATTTAATCATCGGCGGTTTATTCTGCTTTCTCAACTTTTCCGAGTTATATTTCTTACTTTGTTTTTTGGATTGCGCGGCTGACTTCTGTTTTCTGTTACACAGCAGACACACCTTCACGGCAGTTTTGGCTATATCTTTACTTTCATTCCTCCGTCTCCCCTAGACCGTTGCACAGACCCATCGTTGTAACCCCTGTTACCACCACTCACATAAGACGCGATCCATCGGTTGCCACGCTTTGTCGAGCGCATGCACAGTAGCTGTGCTCATCCACGAAATATTAAGCGAAATTCTGAAATGTGTTTTCATTTCGAGAAGATTACTTGAGTAGGGATTTTCAATAAATCATGATTCATCGTGATTCAATAACGATTAGGTTACCTCTGAATGTTGCCTTTTGAACGAACTTCTTTTCGGCTACATGCAAAAAGGATACTCGAAGAAAGGGTATAATTCAGTTTTCAAAAACTTTTCCCATCTTGAATAATTGTAAATCCGACCTGCCCTTTGAATTGCATTCAAGGTTTACGAACCACAAACCACTATATTCTGCTTTGGAAAACCAACATTTCTCTTCGGTATTAAGAGGAGACTATATGCATTTCGTAAAATGTAGCAGTAGATTTGAGTCATATTGTTAACTTTTCAAGCCACATTGCTAAATACAGAGACAAAATGTTTTATGAACAGCCATTTCATGATATTAAAAAATATGACAATTACAAAGTTTTACAAGTCGAATTACTCCTTTCCCTCAAGCATAAAATTCGAAGAACACGCCATTTCTACTGAATTAGCAAAAAATGAATATTTTGTGCGTGTTTTCCGTGGAATATAATTGAATTTCTAAGAGCATCTGAAATCAATGAGGAAAATGTACGCTGCTTAGGTAGTCATTATATACAGAGTATCCTTTTGGCATTTGGTTGAAAAGATGTTCGTTTAAAAGGCAACATTCACAGGTAACTGAGTCGTTATCGAATTAGGTTGCATGATGGTTAATTTTAAAACCCTAATCAAGTAAGCTTCTCGAAATAAAAACGCATTTCAGAATTTCGGTTAATATTGCATGAGTTAGCACATTTGATATGCGTAAAACTCGCCGAAAAGTCAAGGCGGCTCGGATTTTAATAGGCACTGCATGAGCCTGCCACCAAATTCCCAATGCTATCTTTGATAATGCCATCTGGGCTCCGATCAAGCCCCTGGTGCTTTTGAGTCTGAGAAGGACTACTTAATTTCCGACGATTTTAGACTTTCCTGCAGCCTCTATGTGATTTGTATTGCCAAAATTTCACACAATGTATGAAGGTGCACTTGCCCCTTCGCACAAGCCAGCACTGCACTGACCCTGACAATTCCACCAGTACTCCCGGCGGGTGCACCCGCATAAGCGAAAATCAGTTGACGCAACAATATGCGGGAACAATCAAAACAATGGCCACCCTTCTTGCAAGCATTGTTCTTAGGCCTTAACCATTCTGAAGATAAATAATGCTTTTAACTAAAAACCCCAGACAAAAATCTCAAGTTGTGTAATCTCTGCAGAAGGCAGTATTTGTGATACCCACTACCTAATCTTCGCCAATTCAGACCGTTCACCTGGTTCCTAAGTTTCAAAACTCGGGGAATTTGAAAGTGCGCTGAGGTTTAAGTTCTCGCTGTAAAATTTAAGATGTGACGTGAACCGTTTGTTCATTTTTTGGTAATCTCGAGACTTTGTTTAAGGCTAAGGAATTTTTGACATATACGGTGACACGTCGTTTGCAGATTTCTACAGTTTCTGGAAATAATATTTCTCCCCTTCAAAGCAAGACAGTTGTATAGTGATTTTGAATGGATGATGTACTGCGTATTTGGTGCTGGTAACTGACCAGGGGAGCATCAAATGGTGGAAAGTATGATCATAGGAAGCGGCAAAGACCACCTTTACATCGAGCAAAGTGCTTGGTTTATTCTTCGCGAATTCGATATATAGTGAGACAGGCGCACGTTGCATCTCCATAGACGAGAGGAAATGAGGGAAGATGCAAAGGCTCACAGGTCTCCCTATCGACAAGTGAGTCTGACCGGAAATAAAAGCAGCGTCACTCGTCGAACTTCACAGCAGAAAACATTAAAGTTCTATAAAGTTTAGGCCATCTTGTTTAAAGAGGAGACCAAACAGATGCAAAAGGCCGCCATGAAATTTTCCATCATCAGACCGTTTGTACCATTTATTTCATGTCATGTGAGTCATGTATATGTTCTGTCCCATTTAAAAGAGCCAGTACATACGGTGATGAATCAAAAAGGTCTGCGTTCGTTATAAGCATGGGACTATTGTGCACACTGTAACAGTACCACATAAGACCGTATTATTTGAAGAGGTACTTAAAAATGATAATTTCCAGAGCTCGATGGGATGCATGAGAGATAACTGATATATGTTTCGAAAATTGGGTCTATCCCGCAGCTTCGCAACTGAGAAATTAAGCATAAGAACTGTATACTCTTGTGGTCTGTTTTAAGGACAGCAAAATATCGATCAACATGGCGAAACTTCCCGATTTATCTATGCATCTGTTATCACTTGAAGTAAACGGATAGATTGCAGAGGAATGAATTAAATAAACAGCATAACAACCTCCAAGGAAGCAAATAGTCTTATATACAATATAACAGACGTCTCAGCAACTACTTTCCTTCAACATTTTTATCAGAAAACATCAAAAGCTT